TGGCCCGTTCCCAGGACCCGCAGGGGCTGGCAGAAGCCGAACGTCAAGCGGTCGCGCTCGCAGACGAAGCCTGGAAGGAGGCGAGAGGGTAAGGACAGTGTTATTGTCAGTGTCACCGGCGTGGTTATCGGGTGTTTGATGCAACAAAGGCTTCCCAGTAGAACCAGAGTTCTCTTCCCCCTGCACTGGGCACTGGTGAGGCCGCAGCTCAAGTGCTGGGTTCAGTGTTGGGCCCCTGACTCCAGGAAGGACATGGAGGTGCTGGAGCGTGTCCAGAGAAGGGAACGGAGCTGGGGAAGGGTCTGGAGCACAAGTGTGCTGAGTTCCCTTGTGGCTGAGGGAACTGGGGGTGTTGAGCCTGGAGAAAAGGAGGCTGAGGGGAGACCTTGTGGCTCTGTCCAAGTCCCTTGGAGGAGGGTGGAGAGAGGTGGGGGTGGGTCTGTTCAACCAAGGCCCAAGGGACAGGACAAGAGGAAATGGGCTCCAGTTGTGGCCAGGGCAGTTGAGATGGGATGTGAGGAAGAATTTCTTTGCTGAAAGGGTTCTGAGGCATTGGAAGGGGTTGCCCAGGGCAGTGGTGGAGTCCCCATCCCTGGAGGGATTGAAGAGTCGTGCAGACACAGTGCTGAGGGACATGGGTTAGTCATAGGGGACTGGTCAGTGTTGGGTTCATGGTTGGACTCGATGAGCTTAAAGGGCTTTTCCAACCCAGGCCACTGGGATTCCTGGGGAGAAGGGCTGGTGCTGGAGGGCTGGGAGAGGTGACAAATGTCCCCACAACGTCATCTCCTCCCAGCCCCCAGATCTCCCCCCAATGCCCACAGAAGGCAGCAGAAAGGTGATAATTCATTTTTCTCTGCATTGTGTTTAGATTCTTTGGAGAACCCGCAGCATCTGCTTCGCTTCCTGCAGGTGTCCCACAAACCTCAAAACAACATCCTTGTTCCTTGGAGGACGGGTTTTGTTTTGGGAACCGCTGCTCCAGCCCCAGCACCGGGGCTGTGGGGGCAGTGGCCGTGGGTCGCAGCCCGGCCGCCCCGGCTGAGTCACTCCCAGGCTGAGCAAACTGTTTGCAGAAACTGTTTCCTCTCTGCAAACAGTCTGGGAATCACAAATCCCCCTCCGGGGCCGGCAGCGCCACGTCGGGGCATTTGGTCCAACGCTCGGGTTCATAGTGGGGGGAGATGCAACCGCTGCCCCAAAGAGCCCTTCCCCTTGGGGTGCGACAGGACAGAGCATCCCACCACCCCAAAACACCCTCACACCTGGCTCCACGTGCAAACCACAGCGCCGTGCAGAGCAGGGAGCCGTGCAGCCCGCGGGATGGCCTGGGACATGGCGAGGAGGGGACAGTCCTCCCCAGTGCCACCAGCCAGTAGGACCAGGGAAGAAACCTCAACAGAAATCCAGGTCCATCACTGCCCAGCCTGGGCTCAAACAGGCTGCAGCTCAGCGTAGTGACAGCAGCAGAGACCCCCCTCCAACACACACGGTTTGTAAGAATATAGAGTTGCTTTGCTCTAATTTTTAATTTCCTCCTTTTCTATTTTATAGCCAAACACGCGTGTGCCCCCTTGAGCCTCCAGCATCTCACCCAGTTGTGTAAGACTCACTTAAATCATTTTAGCTCCTCTACATAATTTTACCTCCTGTAAAAGTGATTCAAATGAACGACAGCTCCTCTCTGAAAAAGGGCAGAGTTGATGTTCTCCAGGGTGGATGCGTGGGGCTGGAACCCCTTGATCTCCCCAGGCACCCTCTGCCTGGGACCACACCAAGCAGGTGAAGAAATGGAGCAAGAAAACAGGCTTTTCTCCTTCTCAGGAGACTTTTCTGCTGGGGAAACACCAGGACCAAGCCAGGGGAGCTCTCACTGACCATCACCCCTCACCATCTCCCCTCTGCACACAAAAGGCTTTGCTCAGGGAAAGGCTGTGCCCTCGATTCCCACGGGGACGAGTGGACCAGCTGCAGAGTAGAGACTTTTCCCCCCATTTGGGATTCCAGTCACAGCTCTCACCCCACCCCAGCCCATCACAAGGAGGTCACTACACTGCTCTAAAATTAATTCTCTATTTCAGTAGCGGTATTTCCTCTCTTCCTCTTGAGCAACAGCTCTTTCTGCCTGGCCATAGTGTCTCGGCCATCACTCCCCTCCCACGGGATCCAGTCATCATTTACTCTTCACTGGGGCAGAACCACTGGGTAGCCCCCACCTGCCTGATCTGAGCTTCCCACGGGGTTTATAACTCACAGTGGTTTGAGTCGCTGCTTTTGGAAGTGATATCAAGTAGATCTTGTGATATGGAGAACACAGCCACGGCTCCCAGCCAGCACGGACAGGGGCTGGCGTGGCCGGGGGGTTAATCATTCACTGCATTGCACGGAGCAAGTGGAACAGCAGTAAAACCTCCGTGGGGTTTAGAAGATCTCGGTTAAAACCCCTGCATGGATGGATGGGAATGTCACCAGCATTGCGGTGGGTCAGGGCTGTGGCCCTGGGATGATACTCCTGGGAGATGCCGTGCTGAGGCAGACCCCCCCCGAGCACCCCGGGATTTTTAGCCCAGCTGCTGTGCCTTGCTGGGCTCATTTCTGTTCTGCTTATCACAACAGCCTTCCTAGAAAGCTATTTATGGATCACAACCAAGTTGCCTCCTGCCTTCCCTTGAAAGAGCAGTGGAGGCTGGGCTCCTGGAAAGCAGCTTTCCAGGAGCAGAGGTGATACTTTAGCTCTTTTCTGATCCCTTTCCAATGGATCAACACCTATCAATTCCTGTACCTGCAGCACCCAGAGCCCTACAAAGGTATAAATGAGCCCATCGGTCTCCTGCCAGGAGCAATTTCTCTCTGTACACCATGTTATCTGCAAAGAGATGAGCCTACAGCTGGGATGGGCTTAGCGGAGGGTGGAGAAGAGCCACCACCCTTGGCTGGAGGCATCACTGCAGCTCCAACACGAGATCCTGCGGCAGGACTCTGGGTTTCCGAAGTATTTTACTAAAATTAAGTGCAGGGCCGTTGCCGAGCACTCATCATTCTCCCAGGCCGAGCTGTGCTTCGCTCTGATGGACCCTCTCGGCGCGGATGCGTGCGGGGTCAAGCTCAGGTCTGAAAATCTTGGCTGAGCTCGTGATTCCTCCCTGGAATCTGGGCTTGGGCAAGGGAAACTGTAATAAGCACTTCATTTGTCAGCTCTTCAGAGAGGGTCCCTACAGAATTGACCCAATTTTCATTTAATCATTTTACTGTTATTTTTTTCTATTAACAATTTTTTTTTTTTTATATATATAATCCTAACACTTCATTTGAACATACGCTCCAGTGTTCAGGTCTGTGCCAAATCTTAGTCTAAAGAAATAGCTTAAAGCAGGGCTTTTAAAACCCAGGCTAAGTCAGCACATTAGGAACTGAAAACCCCCACTTTTTTTTTTTTTTTTTGGCTGTTTTTTTAAGTTGGCGTAAACTTTAAATTTCATTTAAGCTTCTGCCATACAGACCTAAGCATTTACTTTTATGCTCGGGAAAAATAAACTTCCTGGAACAGGTTTTGTAAAAACAAGGAAAGGTTGAGCTTAGAGCTGAGCTAGCAAAACCAGAGAATTAAGCTGCTGACCTCTGGCCTTTGGGATGCTCTCGGAGCCAGTGCCCAATTTAACAAGTATTATCCCAGGCTCCTGCTCCCGGGCCCGCGGTGCCCTCCCCTGGGAATGAGCCCTGGCCAAGGCAGCATAGCTCAGCTCATTTCATCTCATCTCATCCCATCATCCCATCCCACCATCTCATCTCATCCCATCCCATCATCCCATCCCATCCCATCATCCCATCCCATCCCATCCCAGGCAGCACTAGAGCCACAGTTGCTGCCCAGCACATGGTGGATGCTCAGCTGCCAGGTTTGCCCACACAGGGAGGCACTGACGTGGCAGCAGCTTGGAAAACTGGGAGAAAAGCACAAAAAATCCCCCCACTGGGTTTCAGGTCTCAGCCCTGCTGCTTCCAGCACGTCTCGCTCAGCCCCAGCACCCATCGACACTCCCTGAGCACCCAGCCTGGGGATCACAGCATCCCGGGATCATAGTGGTTGGAAAAGACCTTTAAGATCTTTGAGTCTAACCATGAACCCAACACTGACAATTCCACCTCTAACCCATGTCCCTGAGCACCTCGTCTGCCCATCTGTTCAATCCCACCAGGGAAGGTGACTCCACCACCTCCCTGGGCAGCCTGTTCCAGTGCCTGAGAAACCTTTCAGTGAAGAAACTCTTCCTCAGATCCAATCTAAATCTCTCCTGGTGCAACTTGAGTCCAGTTCCTCTCATTCTATCGCTTGTTATATGGGAGAAGAGCCCCCCCCCCCCCTCTCTCCACCCTCCTCCAAGGGACTTGCACAGAGCCACAAGGTCTCCCCTCAGCCTCCTTTTCTCCATTTACTAAAAGCACAGAATCCTTTCCCTAGCACCCATTTTTCACTGGCGGCTGTTGTTAATTAGCAGTAAATAAAGGGCACTTAATGACTTGCTCAGCAGCACCTCCCTGTCTCGCCACTTGGATACGGACTTACAGGCTCAAATGACAGAGAAAATTGGAATTTGCTGCAATTATTTCTCGTACGTATCCCTTGCGGACAAATCCAACCACACGCAGAACCATGAATGATTTCATTTCCCTACTCAAAGCAAGAAGGAATAGAACATTTAATTGCCAATTAATCTTGAGGTAAGTAGAAATACAAGCAGAGCCTGGATAATGAGCCTGGAGCACTGCTCCATCCCTTCCCACTGCCTGGAAACCTTGGTCTGGTGCCCAAAGAAACCATATCCACGGCCAGTTTATCCGTATTTGTTCCTGGGCCAGCTGAACGCTTCACCTCAGTTCCTTGGGTATTTAGAGCTCGTGGGGAAGAGCTGTGGCTGCTGAAGTGCCTTGGCTGGAGAGAACCAGCCCCCTCACCTGCTTGCCGTGACTTTGGGCAACTCGCAGACCCACCCAGTATCAGATTGAGAGAAACAAGCATGAGGAAAATGATTAATTTGATGACATTTCCCATGATGAGCAGCCTGAACAGGGTTGTTTCACCCACCACTGATGAGGTCTGGCCAAAAGGCACCGTGTAGCCACAGCCCCCCCAACTATGCCTCAGTTCCCCCCTCACCATCCTCCTAAAATACCAAACAATTGCTGCTTTGGTGTCCTCCAGCTGCTTGATCTGCTGGATCTGCAGGAACCCACGCTGGTTCCTCCCAGCTCTCACCTGGGACCTGTTGCTCAGCTCCCTTCCAAGGTGAATACAGACTGAGTGTGACACTTAAAGCAAACATGCTGGGGGGGGGTTGGTTTATTTTTCTCCCCAGCTTTCTGAGTTACAAGAAATTATTTGGTGAGAGGAGTTGTTGCAAATATTTTGATAAAACAATCAAGATTTGATCATATAAAAGTCAAATGGTTAAGTCTGAAACAGATAAACCAGAGCAGTCATTGTTAAGTTAGAAACAGATAAACCAGAGAAGCAATTGTTGGGTTGGAAATAAGTAACCACAGAAACCTCCCTAGGAAATTATGGGATTTTCTATGTTTTCTAAGGAGACCATCACGGACACCAGTTCTGCTGCTTGGAAACCCTTCCCCTTCCCATCTTGATGTGAATCTCAAGGATTTCAATCAGGAGAGCTGAGCAGAACTGACCAATGATTATTTTGGGTTAAGAATATTGATCAGGTTATAGAACTGATGAAGCCAATCATGGTAAAGGTTAAATTTAAATTTAAATTTTTATCCTTCAGGCTGCGCTGCTGGGAAGGGGTTTGCTGCTGGATTTCAGTAACAGGAGTGGCTGATGTGGGTGTTGCTGGAGCTCACAGCTTGGCACGGGTGGAAATCAGACAGCTCCAGGCTTTCCTGAGCCACTGGCTGCTCTTATCTCCCCGGCAGCCCTGCCCGAGCTCCAGCAGATCCGTTCCCCCTCCCAAGCAAGGGCTCTCAGCCCTGTGCAGATATCCTGGTGCTGCAGTTGTGTTTGTTTGAGTTCCTCATCTTGGTGTGGAGTGAGATAAAGGTCCCTGGCCTTGCTGGGGCATCACACAGAGGCGTCTGGCTGCCCGACGGGCTCTGATGCTCCCCAGGAGCCATCTAAGGACACAGCCAACCACATCATCTCCTCTCACAGCTGGAAAACGTCCCTGATCACAACCTCTGTGTGATCATCAATTAATTTATAACCCAGCGACAGAACAGGATCCTGGTTCTAATTAATTCTGACCTCCTTTGATTGAAGATTGCTGATCGCCGGTGAGATGTTTGTTTATGTTTGATCTGTTCCATCTCTGTTAAAAATTCATCTGATAATAGTTTTAATATTGAAACTCTAAAAATTCATCTGATAATGGTTTTAACATGGAAACTCTACTGGGGTTATTGGTATTTTTGTGCCCAGTGAGAACACAGCTGCTCACAAAGACCAAGACATGATTTTTCTGGTATCTGTGCACTTCATGTGAGAGGAGAGAGAGGCTCCTTGTGCCTCTAAGATAAACACATGAATCACTCCAGCCTGCCTTAATCTTGTGCAGTAACGATCCTTTAAAAGCCAGGAAAGGGCTGGAGCTGCCGCTCATGCCTTTTCTGGGAGCCTCTGCCTGTGGATTTACACATCTGTGATTTCCTGCCATCTGAAAATTTTGTTCCTCTTCACGGTTTGGCAGGAAATATTTGTATTTCCAAAAGGCGTTTCCTGCCCTGAGCTACAGCCAGAGCATTTATGTCGTTTTGGGTTTTTTTTTTTAATCCAAGATTTTAACATTTCTTTGTGTGCTTCCTCCATATCTAAGTGGTTATTCTGGTACAACCTTGGCGACACCGCACGGCTCCACAGCTCTCATCACCAAGCCCGGCACGGAAATTCTCCCTTGACAAAAATAGCCGGAACAGCACATCATTTCTTGAGCAAGCCTAATGATTTCCTAAATGTTGAACTGCCCAGAAGACTTGCAAATGCCAGAGGGTCACACAGCAGCCGAAAAGGAGCAGTAAATGGCTAAAAGCATCCCCAGTGCCGGCGGTCACAGGCTCCAGACCCCAGTTAATCAAAGCCAAAGCCAAGCCAACGCTCCTGCCCTCTCCAGAAGAGGAGTTGGGAGGAACAGGGCTGCACACAGGGCAAACACAAAGCGCTGAAAGGATGAGAACGGGTGTCCCACCTCAGCAGAGGAGCCCACGGGCCAGCTCCTGCAGCCTGGGCACCCGCTGCCACCCTGCCCCGCTCCAGCTCTCAGCCCCCTCTTTGTTCAATAAACCCCCTGAGGCTCTAACGTTTCCCTCTGGGCTGACTAAATCTGTTTGGTTTGTTTTTTGTTTTTTCCCCAGACACATGAAAAGCCCAAGGTTAATTAATGATTAACATGCTAATATCAATGACATCTAATCCCCTCATTATATTGCTTTTCCTTTTACGTGCTGTTAACCCTTGTAGCCCACAGATTTCTGGCTTATAGGGAACTGCCTGGTGCTGTGGGACATGTCTCTCCAAGTGGAGGTGAGAGGAGAAGCCAAGTGAGTGCCCGTGGCACAGCTGAGCACCACGGCTGCGGCCGGAGCAGGGAAACGAAGCTGGTGGCCACAGCTCAGGTTAAAATGGGACTGACTCGCTGGAGCATCTCCTCAGATGTACCCAAAGATGCTGGAGAACTGGTCTTTTATCTGACTTTCTTATGGTGAGCCCAGGCTTGGTTCAAAAGGTTTGTGTTCTGGGATTTTGTCACTGAACAGCTTTCTGGTGGTCAGAGTTTAACCTCAGAATCCCAGAGTTGCCTGGATTGGAAAAGCCCTTGAAGCTCATCGAGTCCAACCATGAACCCAACACTGACAAGTCCCCTATGACTAACCCATGTCCCTCAGCACTGTGTCTACACGACTCTTCAATCCCTCCAGGGATGGGGACTCCACCACTGCCCTGGGCAACCCCTTCCAATGCCTCAGAACCCTTTCAGCAAAGAAATTCTCCCTCACATCCAACCTTGTGGTATTTCCTTCTGGCTTCCTTTTTCTGAAGGAGAGGTTCCTCCTGAACCAGCTCCTTCACCCCATGCCACCCCCCAGGGGTTAATTCAGGTGGGGGCTGAGGGTCCCATTGCTGGGTGACGCTGCACCAACCAGCACATCCCAGTTCACGTCCCCGCCAGTGAAAAACCACAACCAGCCCTTTGAGAGCTGAACCCTCTGGACATTTACAGCCTGTTATAACATTCCCACTTAATTATCAATTAGCCAAGCTGGCCTTGTGCAACTCAGGATGAAACACTCACTCCCTCCATCTTCCCACACACACACATTGCTTTTTTAATGGGCTGACTGGTTTTTCCTTCCTTCCTTCCTTCCCCATCACTCCCCTTTGCTGGTACCAGTTCCCTGCTGGACAGCACCCCCAGCACCATGTGCCCATCACCCTTCCTCACACCTGGCACCCCAGCTCAGCCCTGGCACCCAGCCCATCCACCCAGTGCCATGTGAACCCCCCCAGCACCAGCCCAACCACCCAGTGCCACATGAACCCCGCCAGCACACAGCCCACCCAATACTGGGACACATCACGGTGCTGCACAAACACAATGAGCCTAAAAACTGTGCAAACCCGAGTTCCTAACCAGGTGTCACCACATCAGCCCTCACCGGTGCTGGAGGGTGGAAAAGTGTCTCCAGCCACGGC